TTCTTGTCGTCTCGCTTAGGGGTGCAAATTTCGGATTTTGGTCACTCTTAGGATGTTCTGGGCAAAACGCTATTACATTTAACCGTAATGGTCTCTTTTAGGGTTGCACGCGAAGAAATGTAAACAAAGTTATATATTTTCAATTCGTTTTATTATGCGATTCATGTAATCCAAGTTCTCAGTATAACATAAGTACCTAAAGATTATTGTAACAAAATGTCTATGTTTTAAAATGGTCTCTTTTAGGGGTCAAAATAAGGTTGGGCCACGTCCAGGTTGGTCTCCTTTAGGGGGTGTAATTCAAAATTCACGGCGCGTATCCCCGCCCCTTTCATATGGGAGTCCCCTCGGGGTGGGTCCTTAGTAGGCTTTTCGGGATCTGGGATTTAGCTTATTTGACGGCTGGGATCCGGGATTTTGGAGGGAAACGAAATGGAGATCCAGGGTGAAATTATGAAAGTGATACGAGAATTGGACAAAGAAAATTCGGCAAACCAGATGCACTGAAAAACGATACATCGCTTAATTTGGAGACGCGGTCTAAACACCTTTCATTTAGACTTACGATATCGACGTTTTGTCATTCGGTCGACTGTAACTGTATTCAGTCCAACAAATCTGTCCATTGAAAGGCATGTTTAGGATTACGGTCGGAATAACTGGATTGAAGAAGCCTAATGAGGACCTTCTATGACGTCACGTTGGCAATGTTGGTTTAAGTGAACCACAATCAGCAAGCAAACACCCCTAGGGAGAGGAGAAGTGTGACGTCACGTTACTATGGTGGCAGAATCATGACCTGGATCTTAACAATCTTTCTTGACAAGGACGGCCATTTGCATTGTCGAACGATGGAAGAAAAGGATGGGCTACTGTTTTGTCCCTGAGTGCAATCATGCACAAGAAAGGAATTCACGTTAACTTTTTCGTTCTCTTTGTGCCATGGACCACTGTTTGTTCAGATTTTGCTACCATGGCAACGTGACGTAGCGACTTCTCCTCTTCAGTTTTCTTCTGATTTGCGCCATTGAGAATGAAGGGGCATATTACAGACCGCTATCTTTCGGCCTTGTTTCCACGCAATAAGCATTTATCGGACAAGGCCAAGCACTTGGAAATATCGCGATTTGTCGTTGGTGGCAGATAAAGTATCACTTTTGCTGTTAAGTAAACTGACTTCGGTAATCGTTTCACTAATAATTTACGCTGAATAAAATAATCCTTTTAAAGCAACATTATCAAACAGATACAGTGGTTAAAAGGTAAGCAACGGTACCTCGTTAAAAGGAGAAATAAAAATCACCTTAACCAGGCTCATTCAATAATTGCTAATTGTACAGACATACAACAGGTAAGGATAGAGTAACACAGTGAGAATGCTACGTACCTGCGATATATTTTGCGAGATAAAACTAAGAAGACTTTCAGAAGACTTGAAGGTGTATAACACAAGCTGTGGAATACAGAAAAAAGTCACTACATGCAATTAACTCACAATTACAAAACTGCAAGTTTAGTACAACAGAAAAAATAGCCTCATCTTGATGTAAGAAAACAAACAAGGCCCATTTTTATCAATCGTGCAGGGCTACAAATAATAGTTGGTCATCGAACAAAGTCCAACTAAAATTGGCCCACGTTCGGCGAAATCTTAACTGCGTTCGTACATCAGTTGGACATGTCTTGTCAAATTTAATAACAAAGAGGTAATCGCTTTCATTGCAGGGCCTAGGTGTTCGAAGGCCGATTAGAGCAAACTCGGGGTTAAATTTTATCTGGGTTTCTTTTTCTTTTTTAATAAAGCGTTTTCTCAGAAACATTTTTACTATTCTTTTTTGAGTATGCAATCATCAGTGTGTAGACAAAAAGAATTTCACTGAATTTTCTATTTTTCTTAGCTTTCAAACCTGAATTGAGACTTCACTCTTTCCTTTTGCCATCTTAACCCAGGTTTGAACAGCTAAAATCTACCCTGAGTAAATGTGTAGGAACAAAATACCATTACTGCATTATGGCATCAATTACAGTAACAACAGTCTACCTGCAAATCTCACATCCACCATGAACAATATTCGTTAAAGAGGTTTAATACGAACACCATTGCGGAGACCGATCTCTTTCAGTAAAGCCAAACATGTATTACGAAGTTACCCTTGACGAAGAGGAAAGTGACTTCTCAATACAAGTGCAACACTGTTTACAGTGCAGGCACCCTATTTTCCCGTAAGATTGTCAAGATCGACCCATTTTGGCGTGAAATGTCCCATCTTGCTTTAAAACGTTCTGTCAGGGGGCAGGCGTCGGGTTATCTTATGGGAAATTACAGTACTTACCGCTTCTGGTAACTGGTCCGGTTTGTATCGCCCAGCACCAAAAACATTAGAACCACCAGTAGGTCTGAAATAAATTGTGAGAATTAACTACATGGTATGTAACTTCGGGTGTCTTTTCGATATGTCGTGTTACTTGATTTGGTGATTGGTCCATCCGCAAAGATGTTGCGCGATTTTTGTTTCAAGCGACGTTATTCTTCTGGCGAGAGAAATGAATCACAGGATGTGAAGTGACTGACTTAATTTTGAGTTGTAAGAGCAAAACTAACAACTCCATAAAAGGGAAAACGAAAGGCCATGTCTTGTTTGTTGTTATTGATTTGTTTTGTTTGATGTTTTATTTTGGTTTTGTTTTCTATTACGATGGTCTCAATGGATGTGATTCGAGGAGCTTAAGCAATAACAACGGAGACGACAGCGAAAACAACTTTGATCGCATCGACGTTCAAAAAAGGGAGGAAAAATTCTACGTCTTGTGGTCATCAACTTCATAGTTCGCCACATTAAGCAAAAAACAAATTTTACACGGACAACGGTAAAATAACGTACCAAAAGGCTTGGCTTTTGGTGTTTGTCGTTGCCGTCGCCGTTCTTCCGTTCTTCCGTCACCGTTCTTCAGGGCACCTGCTGTGTACCAGGATTGAGTAAGCGCCGTGATTGGTCCGGGCTGAAGGGAAATCCAAACGCCCTTCCGATGACTGATTCATTAAGTCCGTTTGGGGCGTCGAACAAGAACCTCGGGGCTGCTTCGCAGGCTACCATTAGGGACTTTAAGATCCAACGACGCGACGGCAACGAGAACGTCGCTTAAAGTGAATTTGCGTTCTTTCAGTCTTTATCGCAATCATTACCCACTTACTCTGTCGAATGTAGGCGAACCCTCCTGGAGTTGAATTCCTAGGGTCCATAACCATGTTCAGAAAGAGATAAAATTTCGTCTGCTTGTTCAAAGTTGTTGTTTGCTCATTAAACCTATTGTTTTTTCTACTTTCGCGTTGCCGTCCGCGTAGTTGGATCTTAAAGTTCCTATTATGGCTGACCCAGAAGACTACCGGCACTGACAGTCCAGACATGCGACTCGGCTGAGGCCACCTTGAGTAGAGTGGAGTGCCCGATGACAATCACTCGACAACGACACATCACTCAGGGCAGCGCCTCGTGTTTCAAACTCGGCAAAACCCTCCTGCTCGTTTTTTAAATAATGCACAAACTAAATTCCAGAGTAACTTACAAGGCTACTACTGCACCTCTGCTGTCACCAGCCCTCCACAATATTTCACTAATAGCTGATGTAAGAGCTTTGGTTCTTTCGCGGGAAGAAGGCTGAAGTTTCCTAAAATGGACATGAAATAGGATTTATTAAAAGATTAGAAAAAACTAGTTTCNAATTTCGTCTGCTTGTTCAAAGTTGTTGTTTGCTCATTAAACCTATTGTTTTTTCTACTTTCGCGTTGCCGTCCGCGTAGTTGGATCTTAAAGTTCCTATTATGGCTGACCCAGAAGACTACCGGCACTGACAGTCCAGACATGCGACTCGGCTGAGGCCACCTTGAGTAGAGTGGAGTGCCCGATGACAATCACTCGACAACGACACATCACTCAGGGCAGCGCCTCGTGTTTCAAACTCGGCAAAACCCTCCTGCTCGTTTTTTAAATAATGCACAAACTAAATTCCAGAGTAACTTACAAGGCTACTACTGCACCTCTGCTGTCACCAGCCCTCCACAATATTTCACTAATAGCTGATGTAAGAGCTTTGGTTCTTTCGCGGGAAGAAGGCTGAAGTTTCCTAAAATGGACATGAAATAGGATTTATTAAAAGATTAGAAAAAACTAGTTTCCATAATCGCCACGTCCGGACAGGAGCAGCAGAAGAACAAGGGCAAGGCTGAGTTATTCTCAGAAGTTGTTACTAGGAATGGAAATGACAGTGGTAATGGGAAAAAAAATTATTATTGCCATTTAATTTCTCCGTTTCTGATTGGCTAAAATCCCCCAGTTTTAAGGTGTTTCGATATAGTTTTTCAGAGGCCATACTGATAATTTTCAATCGCTTTAAAAGTGATTTTATCCTTGTCTGATCGTTATAAAATTTTCACCAATGATTGACTATAGATTGAAATTCGTCAAAATGTGGGTTTTAGTAAAATCGATATTACTATGACAACAATAAACAAAAAACTTTGAAACTGATAAACGCCTGATTTTGCGCGATCTAGGCCAGCTACTGAAAATCCAACACTGGGAAAAAAAGTTTGATGTTTAGCAAATAACCTCCGTGAGAAGCAAATTAATGCGGACAATACATATATTCATGACTAGTATATTTCAGTGTGACTATTGCCGGTCAATGTTTTACATTCAAAAGATGCGATAAATTCAAACTAAAATGTACTGGTCATGGACGTATGTATAGTGCGCATTACTTTGGAAAAAATTAGCATAACGTCAAAACAGTGACTGTTGTAACGCAGATTTTTGACCGATTTGTAGGATAGGTTTGTCTTGAAATTTCAAGGTGTTGCAGTGAATCAAACATTATTATATACATTCTGAAGATTATGAGAGGAGATTTTAAAAAAATACTATATTAAGCAGCATTCTGACGCTACTGCAGAATAATTTGAATCATTTATAACGTTTTTATTAAATAATCTATCACGGCTATTGAAAATTTAGGTTTGAAATATATTTTCGTTTTAGTCGAATACAGAACTTTTTACCTCTTACGGAGATCGTTTGCTAGACACCAAGGTTTAAGTTCCTAGTGTTGGATTTTCAGTAGCTGGTCTAGATCACACAAAATTCAGCTTCTACCAATTTCAAAGTTTTTTGTTTATTGTTGTCATAGTAATATCGATTTAAGTTAAAAACTACTAATTTCACAAATTTCAATCCATAGGCAATTGTAGGTGAAAATTTTATAGCGATGGGACGAGGAAAAAACCACTTTTAAGGCGATTGAAAAATATCGGTATGGCGTCTCAAAAACTATATCGAAACACCTTAAAATTCTTCATAACCAGCTAGCGTTGACCAACTTTGGAAGACGCTTGCGATATCCGGTAAAACGAATGAATGAATGAATGAAGAGTCGTGGATGAGAGGACAACAGACGTGCCCTCTTACAATATATTTTAACTTGTGCACAGTAAGCTCGGACGTCAGCACACAAAGGCGCCATTGGCATCCGCTCTCAGTCCATTTAAAATGACGTCAATGGTACAGAATATTGCAAGAAAAAGGGACGACAACTGAAAATGATTATTTACAATCTAAACTAAATCATCAAACCAACAGACATTTTCCTGGTATTTAAAGATACCCTAGAGAAAAAAATAAGTAAACATCATATACTCTTGTATCTGAAACACAATGTACTTTTTAGAGTCCCCTTTCTTTCCGCCAAACAGCAAATGCTTGAGGACAAACGCCTGTACAGCAGCCAGCACTCCACAGGGTCCACCCTTAAAAAAAAAAACGACAACAACAACAATGATAACCCCTAATATTATAATCTACTCACTCTGTTTTATAAGGCTAAGATACTACAAGGAGAACTTTGAGGCTGATCACTCTAGGGTTCCTTTAATGAATTAATTATTTTATTCATTTGTTTAAAAATCTGAAGAGTTTCAGTGCTACAGAGTTACCTTTTTGCAACCTAAAATCATATAATGGTCGCCAGGAGCGTAACTGATAACTATTTCACGCAAATGTTATCTCACTAAAAACTTACTTATTGCAAAAGCAACGGCTTAGCGGCATTACCGCCTAAAACAGGTGTGTACCCAGTTGGCGACTTTCGCTGCACTTTTAATCGCAAAATTTTGTTTTTTACTCACCATGGCAACCAAAACGGTCGCAGCTTGGACCTCTGGTCACCGTTGCATGGTTCAAACAATTTCCCTTTTTCCTAGAGATTGAAGCGAAATATTCGCATTAACTTGACCTTACCTTTAGTTGTACAATTCCGTATTCCAGTCGATATAAGTCACAGAATGAAAAGCTTTGATTTCTCCATTCTGGTGTAAAGCTCGACTTGGCATTTCCAAATATAAGATTCTTCAAGCCCTAATGTGATCAACAAATGCATCAGTAAATAGGCGACTAGTTACTCAGGGTACTGCCTAAATCAAGTGAGCCAGCGTGATCAGGCGTTCTTGATATTTTTTTAATAATACTTGCAAACCTATTTTACTTTTTTCGTAATAATTAATTAATTAGTTAAATTAATGCATGAGGGCCCCACTGAAAACCGCCTTGGCGAGTTGGGCTCCCTCTATAAATATTATTATTATTATTATTATTATTATTATTATTATTATTATTATTATTATTATTATTATTATTATTATTATAATATTGTTATCATTGTTATTATTATTGTCTTTTAGCAGTCGCTTGCGACGATAATGACTGGGGGGGGGGGCGTAGACTGTAATAGGCTAAGGGGAAAGCATTATAACAAAGTCCTTGTCTTGATAAGATTGACTTCAAAATGTAATTACAAAAAGGATGAAACGGCCTTTTTTGTGCACAGCAACAACAATGTTAAAACGACAACAAAAGATAAAGTTTTACATGGTTGTATACCCCGCAAATAGCTATTAAGCTAATTTAGGAGGGACAAAACATTACGCATAGTACGCATAGGCGATGAAAAGTTCAACATATTACAAGAAGAAAAAGAATACAATAACATACAGAAGAATCACTGGAAGTTTTCGCTAGTTACATGTAAATTTCAAGACCATAAGATTGCACCTACTATTGCTGTTTCCAAAGTGATAGGTTTGTTTTGGATATCAACTTGCGTAATTTTCTTTGGACCTAAAATATGAGTAAACTTAAAATATTTTTGTTATAGTAGCTTTCAATTAACTAAACTCTAAGTGCAGAAGGACGTAAGTCCTACATTTGGAGGAACCGTGGCAAAGAGGTCAGAGCCCAGCCTCGTCCCCAGTCGTCCTCGGCGATTTCGGATATGACGTCACCTGTCAAGCTTGTCGGGAAAATTCGCCGAGGACGCCTCGCGCTATCGCGCTCGGTTTCAAGCGTCCTCTGGTAACTCGGATAGCGCGAACTGGCCTGGGTAAGAGGCTGGTTAGAGCCCTGGAGTTGCAAGTTCAAGCCCCGCCCCAACGCAAGCGCTAGGTCCACATATGGAGCTATTTTTTTGTTTGTTTGTTTTTGTTTACGGGCCCATTGCTTGGCGGGAGATCTTAACGATTTATTTGTTTCTGTGTTGCTATAACTTCTTTCCCTGGGAATATACTTTACAGTCAAACCCGATTAACACGGATACCGAGAAAGTGTCCGTTTTAACGGGGTGTGCGTGTAGAGCGGGTTGAATTTAAGAGAAAAGGAAACGGCTCTATTTCCCCAGGCCAGAGACAAAGCAAACTATTCGCAATAATAACGCGTCCGAATCAAAAAGGTGTCCATAAAGGGGGATTTGACCGTATGGTGTTACCAGCAGCTGAACACCATTCAATAATTATGTTAGCTAGGGTATTTTGGAGTCAATAAACCCTACTTCTATTGACAAATCGAGGTTTATCCAGCTGGTTCCCTGAGGTGACGCGATTTACAGTCGGATTAAACAGCTTCCAGGCCATCATATTTACACGTACAGTCGAACCTCCCGTAAGCGACCACCCAAAATGCAAAGAATGAGTGGTCGCTTACCGGAGGTGGTCGTTTACAAGAATCGAACCACAGGGAGCCTCTTCCGAGAAGAGGTCCAGACACATCTACTTTATGAAAGATAATTACGACATTTGTAGTTCCACGTTGTCACTAAAGCTCTTTGTATATTGTAAGAAGCATAGTGGACACAGCGAACCTAGAGATCAGAGAATGCGTCAACTGTGGTCGCTTACAAGAGGTTAAAACCAATGGAAAATCATTGACAGTCAGGCACAAAAAGTAGTCGCGGTCGCTTATAGAAGGACCGAGGTGGTCGTTTACTGGAGGTTCCAGCTGTAAGGCTTTCTCTGGGAAAATTTTATTGTTTTGGATTGGCGGTCGTTTATGGGAGGTGATCGCTTACGAGAGATGGTCGCACATGGAGGTTCGACTGTATAGATCTACCATACCTAAGGTTAAGTGACCAAGTTCTTGATCTAGGTCGTCGTCAATATCTTCAAACACCAGATCGCTACTTTTAGCCTTAAGTAAACAAAAAAAAGTGGTTAATGACTTTGATGCAATTGCTGTAACCTCCAAGTGGAGGTTCGACTGTTCATCCACGGTTCAATAATCATAGTATTACCTTCTGATTCCTCAATGTACTGGTGACAGGCTGGTTTCTAAGCAGAAAAAAACAAAAAGTTGAAAATCTAGATGACTTGAAGAGACAGAGGGAGACCTGATTCTAGAACGCCAGTACTGAGAACATCATTTAACTTATAGCTACCTTGAGATTTCATTAGATGTGTTTCTTCTATGATGTTTAGCTGAAATATCTTCCCTGAAAAAATGAAAAATAGAAATAAACCACATACAGCAACATCATCCTTACTGATATAATTTTTGAGTACACAACGTTTTAAGCACAAAAAATGTTAAACGCGAAGTATGCTCTATGCAGGCGATTATTACTTCTGTCTCCCGAATTATTAAAAAGAAAAAAAAGGAGTCGATAATTTTTAGAGTGATACTCACGGTCTATGTTTTTCTCTTCCCTTTCGGTCAACAGGAACATCCTGCGTATTGTGAAGTTCATCAGTCTGCAGAAAAGGGAAAATAAGGCCACTATTGTACAAATGTAAGACATTTCTTGACTCAAATACGGAGACCTCATTTCCAGAGGTCGACATTATACTAAAAACGTCTTAGGCACATTCCTTTGGGTTAAAAACCCGATACTCTAGTAAGTATTCAGGTAACCTATAGCTACCCTGAGAACAGAGGTCTCTCTCATGCATGGCTTTTAACATTTACAAAGTCGTTCGCGTGGCTTGTCTGTCGCGTAGTTAGTTTGTTTACGTCTCACGGGGCGGAAAGAAACCACACGTCAGACAAGCCACGCGAACCGGCGACTCCGGAAACGCTAAAAGCCATTCAAGACAGAAACCTCTGTTCGCAGGGTATCTATACGTAAACTTTCAAAAAAGTCCTCCGTCCAAGACCTCTCACAACTTCGTCGCTCTTTTAGAAACTCGTGAGGTCGACTTGTGGCAAGTCTAGCCTATACGTAACTGGCAGAATCAGGGTGGTGAATTGGCACCAGTCAACCCACCTCATATGAGCGCAACTCATCCCCTTTCTTATCGCGACATTATACACCCAAGGCAACAACAAAATAGAAACATCCATGGAATTACTCGGTCACGCGCGCCAAGTCCCGCCAGCTCAACCACGCAGGCGAGTATTGAGGAACTAGAGTCAAGAAATTAAAGTTCAAAGATGGACAACACTCCTTAAACCTTTCGCCCCGCCGCCAGAGCACCTTGGAGAGCTCGGCTGGCAGGCTATTTTCTCCGAACAATATCATTAAAAAGCATAAGAAAAGGCAATGAGAATCAGTGAAATGATCAGCCAAATTAAGGAAAAATGCTTTGATCTTTAAAAAATTCCCCCAACTATAAATACTTTAAGGGGTCAATCAGGGATGTCTCTCGTCAGAATAGGGAGCTTAAACAGAGGCGTTTTTGAGCGACGCCATCTAACTGAAGTGAGGCATTGACACTTTTAACATGCCTAAAAGCTACAAAACTTGAAAATAATATTGTTATCATTGTTATTATTATTGTCTTTTAGCAGTCGCTTGCGACGATAATGACTGGGGGGGGGGGCGTAGACTGTAATAGGCTAAGGGGAAAGCATTATAACAAAGTCCTTGTCTTGATAAGATTGACTTCAAAATGTAATTACAAAAAGGATGAAACGGCCTTTTTTGTGCACAGCAACAACAATGTTAAAACGACAACAAAAGATAAAGTTTTACATGGTTGTATACCCCGCAAATAGCTATTAAGCTAATTTAGGAGGGACAAAACATTACGCATAGTACGCATAGGCGATGAAAAGTTCAACATATTACAAGAAGAAAAAGAATACAATAACATACAGAAGAATCACTGGAAGTTTTCGCTAGTTACATGTAAATTTCAAGACCATAAGATTGCACCTACTATTGCTGTTTCCAAAGTGATAGGTTTGTTTTGGATATCAACTTGCGTAATTTTCTTTGGACCTAAAATATGAGTAAACTTAAAATATTTTTGTTATAGTAGCTTTCAATTAACTAAACTCTAAGTGCAGAAGGACGTAAGTCCTACATTTGGAGGAACCGTGGCAAAGAGGTCAGAGCCCAGCCTCGTCCCCAGTCGTCCTCGGCGATTTCGGATATGACGTCACCTGTCAAGCTTGTCGGGAAAATTCGCCGAGGACGCCTCGCGCTATCGCGCTCGGTTTCAAGCGTCCTCTGGTAACTCGGATAGCGCGAACTGGCCTGGGTAAGAGGCTGGTTAGAGCCCTGGAGTTGCAAGTTCAAGCCCCGCCCCAACGCAAGCGCTAGGTCCACATATGGAGCTATTTTTTTGTTTGTTTGTTTTTGTTTACGGGCCCATTGCTTGGCGGGAGATCTTAACGATTTATTTGTTTCTGTGTTGCTATAACTTCTTTCCCTGGGAATATACTTTACAGTCAAACCCGATTAACACGGATACCGAGAAAGTGTCCGTTTTAACGGGGTGTGCGTGTAGAGCGGGTTGAATTTAAGAGAAAAGGAAACGGCTCTATTTCCCCAGGCCAGAGACAAAGCAAACTATTCGCAATAATAACGCGTCCGAATCAAAAAGGTGTCCATAAAGGGGGATTTGACCGTATGGTGTTACCAGCAGCTGAACACCATTCAATAATTATGTTAGCTAGGGTATTTTGGAGTCAATAAACCCTACTTCTATTGACAAATCGAGGTTTATCCAGCTGGTTCCCTGAGGTGACGCGATTTACAGTCGGATTAAACAGCTTCCAGGCCATCATATTTACACGTACAGTCGAACCTCCCGTAAGCGACCACCCAAAATGCAAAGAATGAGTGGTCGCTTACCGGAGGTGGTCGTTTACAAGAATCGAACCACAGGGAGCCTCTTCCGAGAAGAGGTCCAGACACATCTACTTTATGGAAGATAATTACGACATTTGTAGTTCCACGTTGTCACTAAAGCTCTTTGTATATTGTAAGAAGCATAGTGGACACAGCGAACCTAGAGATCAGAGAATGCGTCAACTGTGGTCGCTTACAAGAGGTTAAAACCAATGGAAAATCATTGACAGTCAGGCACAAAAAGTAGTCGCGGTCGCTTATAGAAGGACCGAGGTGGTCGTTTACTGGAGGTTCCAGCTGTAAGGCTTTCTCTGGGAAAATTTTATTGTTTTGGATTGGCGGTCGTTTATGGGAGGTGATCGCTTACGAGAGATGGTCGCACATGGAGGTTCGACTGTATAGATCTACCATACCTAAGGTTAAGTGACCAAGTTCTTGATCTAGGTCGTCGTCAATATCTTCAAACACCAGATCGCTACTTTTAGCCTTAAGTAAACAAAAAAAAGTGGTTAATGACTTTGATGCAATTGCTGTAACCTCCAAGTGGAGGTTCGACTGTTCATCCACGGTTCAATAATCATAGTATTACCTTCTGATTCCTCAATGTACTGGTGACAGGCTGGTTTCTAAGCAGAAAAAAACAAAAAGTTGAAAATCTAGATGACTTGAAGAGACAGAGGGAGACCTGATTCTAGAACGCCAGTACTGAGAACATCATTTAACTTATAGCTACCTTGAGATTTCATTAGATGTGTTTCTTCTATGATGTTTAGCTGAAATATCTTCCCTGAAAAAATGAAAAATAGAAATAAACCACATACAGCAACATCATCCTTACTGATATAATTTTTGAGTACACAACGTTTTAAGCACAAAAAATGTTAAACGCGAAGTATGCTCTATGCAGGCGATTATTACTTCTGTCTCCCGAATTATTAAAAAGAAAAAAAAGGAGTCGATAATTTTTAGAGTGATACTCACGGTCTATGTTTTTCTCTTCCCTTTCGGTCAACAGGAACATCCTGCGTATTGTGAAGTTCATCAGTCTGCAGAAAAGGGAAAATAAGGCCACTATTGTACAAATGTAAGACATTTCTTGACTCAAACGACGGAGACCTCATTTCTAGAGGTCGACATTATACTAAAAACGTCTTAGGCACATTCCTTTGGGTTAAAAACCCGATACTCTAGTAAGTATTCAGGTAACCTATAGCTACCCTGAGAACAGAGGTCTCTCTCATGCATGGCTTTTAACATTTACAAAGTCGTTCGCGTGGCTTGTCTGTCGCGTAGTTAGTTTGTTTACGTCTCACGGGGCGGAAAGAAACCACACGTCAGACAAGCCACGCGAACCGGCGACTCCGGAAACGCTAAAAGCCATTCAAGACAGAAACCTCTGTTCGCAGGGTATCTATACGTAAACTTTCAAAAAAGTCCTCCGTCCAAGACCTCTCACAACTTCGTCGCTCTTTTAGAAACTCGTGAGGTCGACTTGTGGCAAGTCTAGCCTATACGTAACTGGCAGAATCAGGGTGGTGAATTGGCACCAGTCAACCCACCTCATATGAGCGCAACTCATCCCCTTTCTTATCGCGACATTATACACCCAAGGCAACAACAAAATAGAAACATCCATGGAATTACTCGGTCACGCGCGCCAAGTCCCGCCAGCTCAACCACGCAGGCGAGTATTGAGGAACTAGAGTCAAGAAATTAAAGTTCAAAGATGGACAACACTCCTTAAACCTTTCGCCCCGCCGCCAGAGCACCTTGGAGAGCTCGGCTGGCAGGCTATTTTCTCCGAACAATATCATTAAAAAGCATAAGAAAAGGCAATGAGAATCAGTGAAATGATCAGCCAAATTAAGGAAAAATGCTTTGATCTTTAAAAAATTCCCCCAACTATAAATACTTTAAGGGGTCAATCAGGGATGTCTCTCGTCAGAATAGGGAGCTTAAACAGAGGCGTTTTTGAGCGACGCCATCTAACTGAAGTGAGGCATTGACACTTTTAACATGCCTAAAAGCTACAAAACTTGAATTGCTTAGTTTTCTTAATTTGCCTGAAAATTTGGGCAAACCCACTGTCCAATAATGTAAAAAGGCCTTGACTGGTTGCCGTGTGTTCCTTGGAAATGCCTTTGCTTAAGCGCTCTTGTAAGGGAGAGAGGAGCTGGTGGAATTTGACGGGTAGCTCCTGTAGTACATGATGACCCCCCTCTTAATTAGAATTTTTTTGGGGGTGGGGGGGGGGGTCCATCTAGCAGGGTTGTCACTAAGATTTCAAGTTGCTGGTTAAATAAAACAAGTAGGCAGGGAATCAAACAGCTAGGGATTTCTTTTGGTTTTATTTGTCTTCTGTTTCAATATGAAAGTAAACAGCGGCTACGTTCATAGTAGCCGGGGGAAATTCCCGGCCCCTGGCTCTTAATAACAGCCCTGATCTTGTATCCAAAAAAAACTTAAAGGGTTTTATAGGTGACCGCCCCCCACAAAAAAACACTTTACACCAAATATTTTTCTCCTGAACCCCCCTCTAAAGCTATATTTTTTCATGGTCCCCCCTCAAATCCCACCCCCCCCCCCCACCCTCCCATCTCATAAAAAACGAACGGTCGCTAATGATGTATATACTGATGTATACACTGCATGATGTATACACTGCAAAAAACTCCTTACTTTGTTAACCAATGGATCCTGATTTGGAGTAGATACATGTACATGTACACTACTCAATTCTTTACTGTCCTCATCATCTCCAAACAAGCTTCCAATGCTTTTTGCTGTTAAACTTCCACTAAGCCTCCCAGTACTACGACGAGTTCTTGAATCTCTTTTAACAGCAAGTCCAGAACTAACAACAGGCCCACCAATACTGCTATTAAGTCTCCGTTTACTTTTCTGTTTCAACGCCATTTGATCCGACAACGACACAGTTGGCCCCACGCTCCCTGATTGTACATGTAGCAGTCCACCAACATCACTTGCATCTGTACCTCCTCTTTTATGCAAATCATCTTTCTGTGTACTGACTTGCATCTTACTGGAGTCATTAGCGAACTTTATGCCTGTTGGAGAGCCGTGAACTTTGCTTGAAGGTTCTTCCAGGCGTTTCAATAGATCGTCATAGTCTTTTCTGTCATTTTTTTCACCCAGTTTGTCCATGTTATCGATGAGATCATTATTTGATGGTTGTGCAGTTGTCCTAGTACTGGATTCTTTTTTTCTTTCCCTGACAGTTAAATGCACCAAATGAAGTTACCAATGCACTTTAGTTGTTACGCATACATTGTAATACTTAACAAATGGACTCTGTCTTACCTAGTACAGTGTAGACGAACACCAGAGAGTACTAAGAGGCCATCAATATTCTTAGAAAAGAATTGAGGAGAAGACTGGAGGGAGTCAACTTTATGTACATGTACATACATCGATGTCAGTTTGCATTGAAAGGTGCCCATACCATTGAAGTACATGTACATGGAACTCACTGAAAGGAGTTCCTCTACAGACAAAATTCAAGAGTTGACTGAATACCCGGGAGGGGGATGAGGGCATTCAATGAAGTTATGTGCATGTACATTGCACAGGGAGGTTCTGCCCTGAGGTCCAAGCCAGAAAAGGTACCTTTTCCCAACCTTTTTCACATACCTACATTGTGATAAGGTCAAAGCATGCATCTCTTTTGACTACTGTAAATGTACTGTCTTTGTGAATAAATCACTAAACCAGGAAGTTTTCTTGTCATTTTAACAGGCCCAAGATGCATCTGTTAGCCTTTTAAGTCCTTTTACAGACTGATTTGACATATATATATACTAACTTCAACCAGTGAATTCCCTGCCCTTTCATATACAACCCTAAAGACTGAAAAAGGTACCCCTTTTGGGTAGAGCCTCCCTATATAGGCCATTATAGGGAGTACCCCCATCCTGAGCTGTTCGTGCCCCCACTCCTCAAAAGTGGTACTGAAATGTGTTGAATTTGTGTAGTACCAATCATATCTGGGAGGAACCATTTTCAATAAATTACTCATTTGCTGTACAAACAGCTCTTGCAGCAGTATTATTAATACCTTGTTTGCTTTGACTTTTGACTTGACTTATCTGTTCCAACAGATGTTGAGCCACTTTGAGCGTCTCGATTTTTCATAAACTGAACCATGACCTCTAGCATGGTGCGAAATGGTTCCGGTAATTCCTGACCAAACAATAAGTAGGAAAGTTAGGCTGGTAACTTCAATCATGGAAATCAAGCAGTGAATATAATTCTCTCTTGGTACATGTACAGAGAGCGGGCAAGTTAGCTCTGCAAAGAATTCAGGGCACCTAGAAGTAATAGTCAGCTATTTCTTACTAAAATTCCTAATGAATGTATGTTCCAAGGTACCTTTGAACTTTTGGCTAAACAAAGAAGTAACGACACAATCAAAACAGGTGCATTTGAATAAGTCTACCAGGGAGATTTCAATCAATTCCAATGAGATGCAACCCATTCCTGATTAACCTTTTCACTCATCCACCAAGTTATCGCCAGATTATTTGTCACTCTACAAAACAGTAACATTATTCAGTCTGCGGACAAATGGTGTTGCCATTCAAAACAATGAGACCTCTTTTGCAGAACTTTCAAGATTACTTATGACAAGCTGTATAAAAAGACGGACAGTATGGTACAGTCTCTCAAAATACATGTATTAGGCTGATTTGGCAACAGATCGGGAATGTCAGTTGACAACAGCATGCACAAATGAAACAACTGGCTTAACTAATGGCAGAGTGGGAAATTGGGCACTGTCAGTTGCATTCGGTCCTTTTCGTGCACTTTTCCGTCATCAACTGACACTCCCGTTCTGTTGTTAAATCAGCCTATTAAGAACCACAGGCTGTGATGGCTTGGTTATGTTCTAAGCATGCCCAGCGGCAGGATACCCATGAGATGGACTCCAACTGGGAGGGGGAAAGGGGGCTGAGCCAAAAACTACATGGTAGAGAATACTGATGAAAGAGCTGGAGGAGATGGGTCTAATGTGGGGTGAAGCACAGGCCATGGCTCAGAACAGGATTGACTGTCAATGCTTGATCAATGTCTTATGTCCCAGTAGGGATAAAGAGGTTGAGTACTGGGTGGGTGAGTTTGGCAGAACTTTTGCATAAAGACTAAGATTTCAAGTTGCTGGGTAGATACAACCAGTAGACGGGGAATCAAATGGCTAAGGATTTGCTTTGGTTCTATTTTCCTATGAAGGTAGTCAGGGCCATATTCATAGTAGCCGGGGAAAATCCCCCACCCCTGGCTCTAAATGACAGCCCTGATAACCCTGTGATAACGCTTAACAGAGACCTCTTTAAGATGGACACTTCTGTAAAATGGACACCTAGAGTTGGTCCCTTCTTTTCTTTACTCCCTTTAATTGACTCTTGACAAAATGGACACCTAGAGTTGGTCCCTGCCTTTCTTTACTCCCTTTATTTGACTCTCTATAAGATGGACACCTCTGTAAAAGGGACACCTAGAGTTGGTCCCTGCCTTTCTTTACTCCCTTTATTTGACTCTCTATAAGACGGACACCTCTGTAAAAGGGACACCTAGAGTTGGTCCTGCCTTTCTTTACTCCCTTTATTTGACTCTCCATAAGACGGACACCTTCTGTAAAAGGGACACCTAGAGTTGGTCCCCGCCTTTCTTTACTCCTTTTATTTGACTCTCTATAAGACGGACACTTAGTGCCCGTCCCATAAGTGTCCATCTTAGAGAGAGTTGACTGTAATATTATTTTCTGATTAGATAATGAGCAGAATGCAATAATTATTATTGAGAATTCTGACTGTAACAGTGGGGACCATTGCATACTACCCACCTTATTCTTTTTCATGAGTCTTTCAATGTGCATTTCTTTGGCAAGTTGCAGACGGTTGCTAATGCTATGGAATATATCAAAAGAAGATAGGTTCCTTTATTTGGTGGGTTAAGTGCATTTTTATCACTAAAAGGAATATCTTTTTTTGCATACCTCATTTGGTTCACTTACAGTGAGTTGTTATGTCCATGTGACTTTAATAATTAGTTAGTAACTTAACTGTACGTTACTCATTCACATTTCATAACCTCTTCGTTTTATTAGATTTGCTTTGTAGAATATACACAGTACAGATAAATGCAATAATTTGGTGCCCATCAAAATTTTATTACACTACAACATTTTTATAGAAATTAAAATAGCAAAATTTTGACAAATTTTTCACATTTCTCACGAAAAAGAAAACCTAGAAATTAAATTCCCACAACAAAGTTTAGAGAACATAAACGTATCTGTTGTTTTGGATGTACTTGTAAAGAAAATTGACCTAAATGGCACAAACATGCACCTTTCTTGTCCAAAACTCTCTAAGTTTTTACTAAAAGCACTCAGTACAGATGTATCTTATGGAGTAACATGTACCTATCTTCAGTTCTTGGCATTTCTTTATCCAAGGTCTGTAAGGTGGTCTTAAGCCCCTGTTTGTGCATAAACAAATGTGTGCATCATAATTTAAAATGCTTCTATTATACATTTCATGAGTTAACAAAGACAAAGCCTGCTTTGTCAATGTTAACTCAAATGCAAAGGGTTCTTTTGGTGTGCTTATAGACAAAGACAAAGTTGAGGTTCAAAAATAATATTACTATAAAAGACAAGAACTTGGCCAAAGTCCAGCCATCTAGAATGAGCAAACATGGTAATTACCGGGTAGGACTCTCAGGAAAACAAAACTAAATGTTTTCCCTAGCTTGGGACCTGATATTAAGTGTACAATGGCAGATATACATGTTCACCAGAACTCTGCATTCTATTGTCTGCACCATACTTAAGATGGCTTGAACCCGAACCCTTCAATTCCTGTAGGCACCTTTTGAAAAATGAAATCTAAAGGGTTAATTTTTTGTAGGCAACTTTAAAAAAATATCTGAAGGGTCAAAAAATTGGCAATTTCTTAATCTGAACCCCCTATTCAAAAACCTGCCATCCTTAGGGAAGGAAAAGGGGTTGCAGATGTAATGCCCTACCCTGTAATGTACAGAGATGCCAACCAGCACATATAAGCTAAGATTAAGCCTTCCTTGGAAATCTAAGCTTACCTTTCGGCTCAGGTATTCCCTGACAAGGGAAGCTGTGATGGAGACAATCTGTGAGTCCCCCATGTTGTCTGATTGATACAAGAGGTCAGGTTGTAGCAAATTACAAGTTATCCCTACTTGAAAATTGTTTTAAATTAACGTGATGTATCACCCTTCATTCTCGTCTTGTAATCAAAAGCTTGACTATAGGTGGATGTTCATTGATATTTATACAAGAGCTACAGAAACGTTGGTTGAAACGGAAAATCAGAGTCGTGCGCTGTTAAAACAAACATTTGCTATTTCTATTGACATCAGAGTCTCCTTTTAACCATGAAGTACCTGAATCCTCTCAACGTTTAATATTTTTAGCCCACAAAACAGCTTGTTATGATTCACACACACCGACAGTTGGGCGCCATTTTGTTCGAGTTAGTGCCAGGCCACACTCGATCCTAAGTGGACGAGGCACAAAAATGGGATGACCCTATTTGGACGAATAGCGGACTGACGGAATGACGGAATATACCGAATACTCTAAAATACGGAATACACGAAATAAACCAATTAACCAAAACACGAAAACACGGAATTTACAAAATATTCTAAAACAAGACACGGAATATACGGAATATTCTTTGACTCAGAATAAGAGAAAATTATCTTTCAAAAAGGATTAATACATCAGTATACATTCGACTCCCATAACTCGAACTCTCGCTATTGACTCAGACCTCATGCTAACTCGTGCTTGGATATATACCAGGGGTGCCAGAGACTTTTCTAGCCCGGTTTCCGGTTCTGTAAAGTCGATATAGTGACCCGCATTCTAATCAAGACAGAAACAAATCGTCGAATACGATATAAAACAAAAAATATCCTCAAGAATTACTGGGCCGTCGATAAAGTAGGAAATGAAAATCTGTTTAGCCAGGAAATCCTGTTTCGTGTAGAATTAATCGTCTGCTTGTTTTTTATCTATTTTCGAAGCAGCGATACTTACGCTTTTTTAAGAGCATTCTTTTTTTGTCTGTGTATGTGCCAAAGGGCCTGAGGAAATTATGGTCAAAGGCGTTCCTAGCGAAGATCGTGGAAACTAGGGATAAGAATCGCGCCGTGACGAGAAAAAGGTGTCGAGCCTTTCCGGAACGGGTCAGTCCACGAACTCTATCGCTTGAAAGCATTGATTACATTGGAACAAGGGAATACTTCAGTGGTAAAGCAAGCCTCGAGTTAGGTCGCAAAGAACACGATTATGATCTCTTATACAATAACACAGTAGACTTCACACAATAGAACGAGACAATAGTGCATATATTGACTTGCTATATGCATCAAGTTTGTCTCTCACTAATACACACCAGGATACAAGCCAATAGGTTGCTCATTACAGCTCAGCCAATCAGGGATTTGCGAACGATGAACAAAGGGGGTTCTTATAGCAGGTGTCTCTTACCCTCTCTCCCCAATGCCCCTCCCTCTTTCCCTTCTTCCCTATCCCCTACCCTTTCGACGCCTGCTACGCAGGTTAGGGTATTGGGAATGGGGATGCCCAAAACGCGGGGTTGCCCATGTCGCTGTAACAGCGGCCAAGACAAAGAGTGAGTGGATCTGAGTGCGAGAACCTTAGACTGGTGAAAAACAAACAAAATGGCGGCAAAGGGGAACTCGATGTGCCTAATAAAAGACGCTAGAAGTAACTATGACTGCACGTACCATCCTCACGGATACGGTAGAATGAGAAAGAGATCTTATTTTGCTGTTCAATACTTTCTTTTTTTT